GTTGTAAATGGGTTTACAAGAAAAAGGTCGATGTGGATGGAAACGTCCACACATACAAAGCAAGACTAGGAGCGAAGGGTTATACACAAAGACAAGGTATTGACTTTGATGAAACTTTTTCGCCTGTAGCCATGCTAAAGTCCATTCGAATTTTGCTTGCAATAACTGCATACCATGATTATGAGAAATGGCAAATGGATGTCAAAACTGCTTTCCTTAATGAAAACCTGCAAGAGGAGGTGTACATGACACAGCCTGAAGGTTTTGAATCCAAAGGAGCTAACAAAGTATGTAGGGTAAATCGATCCATTTATGGATTAAAGCAAGCCTCTAGGAGCTGGAATCTTCGTTTTGATGAAACAATCAAAAGGTTTGATTTTATCAAAAATGAAGATGAACCGTGTGTTTATAAGAAAAAAAGTGGGAGCGCAGTCGTATTCCTGATATTATATGTCGATGACATATTATTAATGGGAAACGACATCCCAAAGCTTCAATCGGTAAAATTATGGTTGTCAAAGAATTTCTCCATGAAAGATATGGGAGAAGCAGCGTATATCTTGGGAATCAAGATCTATAGAGATAGATCTAAAAGATTACTAGGCTTATCCCAATCTTCGTACATAGATAAAATCTTGAGAAGATTTAATATGGAAGAGTCTAAAAGAGGATTATACCCTATGTCACATGGGATTTACCTCTCAAAAGATATGTGTCCTAAAACACATGATGAAAAGAGTCGCATGGACAAGATTCCTTATGCTTCGGCGATAGGATCTATCATGTATGCGATGCTATGTACAAGACTAGATGTTTCGTATGCTCTAAGTGTTACGAGCAGGTTTCAAGCAAACTCTGGTGAGAAACACTGGATAGCGGTTAAGAACATTCTTAAGTACTTGAGAAGGACTAAAGATGTGTTCTTGATCTATGGAAGAAATGAACTGAAAATTCAGGGGTATACTGATGCTAGTTTTCAAACTGATAAAGATGATAGCAAACCTCAGTCAGGATATATGTTTACTCTCAACAATGGAGCGGTTAGTTGGAAAAGTTCCAAACAGGAAACAACCGCTGATTCAACAACAGAAGCCGAGTACATAGCTGCTTCTAAAGCAGCAAAGGATGCTGTGTGGATCAAGAAGTTCATTAATGAACTTGGAGTCGTTCCTAACATTGTTGATCCCATACCTTTGTATTGTGATAACAATGGAGCTATCGCGCAAGCGAAGGAACCGAGGTCTCATCAATGATCCAAACATGTGTTAAGGCGATATCATCTCATCAGAGAGATTACACAAGGAATGACGTAACGATAGAGCGAGTTCCCACAGATGATAATATTGCAGATCCACTGACAAAGCCATTGTTACAACAGAAACATGATTGTCATGTGGATGCTTATGGTATTAGATACGTGAGTGATTGGATCTAGTGCAAGTGGGAGTTTGTAAGTGTTATGCCCTAGATCCAATCGATTTAGGTTGTAAACGCTTTTAATATATTTAATGCATTTGATTTTGGCGAGATCTATTATTTATTTAAATTAATTTTGTGATAAATAATATTAAATAATAGAATCCGAAAATCCAATTTTTAGGTAATCTGTTAATCACAAGGAGTTGTGATTGTGAGATACAAATTACATATAATTGGATCTTGAATAAACCATGGTCGTAAGTAATAACGAGATACAGATATCGTTAATACAGTTAGACCATCACGTGTGGCATTTCTTATTTGTAAAGTAAGTAGCTGATCTCACGAGCTAAAGTGTGGTGACACTTAAATGAACACGTGGATGTTTTGTTATAGAACAAAACATTGGAGACCGGCTAAGAGATTCCACATGGATAACTATCTGAGTGTCAGTGGCTAATCTCTAACGTTTGATAGTGGAATTGGTCCTTTGACTTGAGGTCGTCATAGTTCCTTATATGAGGACAGTCATACTTTGGCGGTGTTGGATGTTGCTTTGAAGGGGCCGCTAATACGACATCGTTCAGGTACGTCAAGAATCGTATGAAGGTTGTGATTGATCAATAAAGGAGTCGTCACTCTTAGATAGTAGGAAATTATGATCTGCGTTTCATTCAATTAAGTCGATGATGAAATCTTTGGCCAAGGTGTATTCATAAGTCGAAAATGAGTTTTCAATTTATATTGACTTAATAGTAGAGTGAAAGATATGATCAATGATCGAGATTGACACAATTCCATATCTCGTAATTGATCGGATCGTATTGACGAAGAGATAATAGTTTCACAGTAAACGAACGAATTTGATTTTGTCATACCACGTGACATTTTCCGTCACATGTATTGCCTGACACATTGCTAGATGTCAATCAGAGACGGCGAGTGTGAATTGACGATAAATTAAAAGGGTGTATTAATTTATCAATTTTGATTAGATCAAAATAATATTTCACGACGTTAGGCATCGTGGTCGGGAACCTAATGGGTCGCACACAAAAGAGAATTGGAAGATTGCAAATTGCCAATTGGTTAATTTAACAATCGTTGGATAACTTAATTAATTGAATTTGTTATTTATATTCCCGAATTAATTAATTGGATTAATTAATTCACAGACCGGGTTTAATTAATTGGATTAATTAAATATTGGATCGGACCGGGTCGGGTCCGTTTGGGTTTGTATATATACATAGCTAGGGTTTGAGGTCCATAAGGTTTTCATTATTCTTGCTGGCACAAGAGAGAAACCCTAGTAGTTGTAGTCTATTCTCTGTGTGAATTTCATTGGACGCTGGACAATTGGACAGCTGTGGGAGGCAGATTCAAGCAGCTGGAAAGGAATAACGCGAATGAGTTTGCAAATTACAAGAAAAGGTATATTTCTTATCACAATTTTTATCTAAATACAAAGTTGAATCCTGAATGGGAATTGAAATTTGATAAATTCCGCTGTGCATGTTTAAGTAAATTCCCAACACCAAGTTGGTCTAAAACTTGCAATCTTAACAAGTGAGCATTTTGGTTATGAGCATAGCAAAAGGCAAAATTGGAACATGGTCCTACTTTGTAGAAACCAGACATGAAAGTTTTCATTTTTATTTTAGGATCCCAACTAGTATATGATATTGGTGCGTCTTATTATTTGACTGCTGACACAAATAATGTCAAAAGTCTTACTCTACACCTTAAGCTGGAGATCTCCCTTTACATACGATAATCTTCACGCACGAGGGAGGAAAGCAATGTTTTGAAAACCAAACAGGACCGACCGGTTCCACCAGGAACCGGTCTCAAATTCAGTCCGATACTAATAGATTAATCGAAAATAAAATAATCAATAAATAACCAGTCGAACGGGTAATTTTAGCCGAAAACCGAAAAACCGGTCATGGTTTTTACCGATTTTTCCCAAAAAAAAAATTGATAATAATTACTTTGATAAATGGGCTCAAGCATTGGCAAGTCCAATTTTACATTCCTTCCAATCCAAGTGTTATTTTTAAAAGAGAAGAGTCATGTAATGTTTTCCTCAATTTTTAATGTGGGATAAGTTGTGTAATCTTTTGTAATTTATATATTTAATAATTCTTTACTTTTTTTCTTTCTGTTAAATAAAATTTGGCCCCCAAAGCACAAATAATTTAAATATTAACAAAGCAAATTATTTTAGACACAACAATTGTTAATTTTTGATATTTTAGAATAAAGTATAGGACAATAAATTTAATTGACAAATATTGATTTATATTTACTTTGACTTAGTAATACTACAATTTAAAAACTTGGTGTTGTTGTAATATTTTATATTTTGTTGGAGTATTTATTTATTTAATTTTGATATCAGGTTTGATCTCAGGTCGACTTCGGTTCGACCAATTGACCTTTGATTCTTAAAACATTGGATGAAAGACAACAAGCTATTAAGTGCATTTTTCTCATTTTTTGGTAAATGTGCATGCTGCAAGTGATATTGAAGTAGGAAATTTGCCTTCTCTCTACAAATCAAGAATGAAAAATCAAGGTATTATCCATAGCACAAGGTCTCGGTTGATTGTAAATTATAAAATGTGGTGCCGGTTTATCTCTCTCAACCAATTCAAGTACAAGGGAGGTTGTTTTCCGATATAAGTGTAGCGTTCACTAACTATCGGGCCAAGGGGATGTTGGCTCCTTTGTTTTTTTCACGGACCAGAGTGCTAGAAGGTGGAAGAGAAGGAAGTCGAACCTTTAATCAACCTAATCATTTCTCCTTCTCTTGTAGACCATCAAGGTAGTGATACATGCAGGTGATCCCCCATGTCGTAATAGATAGGACTATATTATACAAAGATATTCAATGACGTTAATTAACTTAAGGCATGTTCGGTAGTGATTATGAGAATTGATTTTTTTTACCGTTAGAAATAAAAAGTAAATCTTACCTATGAGAAAAGAAGTCAAAAGTGACGATTGAAAATAGTGAAATAACGGTAAAAAAAATTGTTACTGGAGGGCTTAATTTCATAATTATTCTTATTTTCCCTACTATTAAAATTGAAAATTGCACAATATTTTTGTGAGTCTGTAAATGGAGACTACATTGATGTTTATTAAAAAGCACTAGTCCATAGATCTCAAATCATAAATTGTTGCCCATTAGTCTACAATAATGGGTTCTCATGTTGAATTTGGCAAAGTTGAAGTGATTTTCATTATTTTAAAGTTAATTTTGATTTTTTTTGTGGTTGATTCTCATGATTTAGCTAGATTGAAATTATTTGACTTATTTGAATTGATAATACTAGTTTAGAAAAGTGCTTTAAGTAATTTTGAGCTGGTTTAATGTAATTTTTATTTATATATTTTGTAAGACTCATAATTTATCATCCACTTATAATCGATTTGTTCCCTCGCAGTTCATAGGCAAACAAGCACTAAGATTATTTTTTATAAAGATGAAGGGTTGGTTCGTAAATATTCGAGATATTACAGGGACGGATAGTGTAATTAATCAGCTCCCACCTCCTCCAATATATCTGAACGAAAAAAGAGAAGGAAAAAAGAAAAGAGACGCAAGAACCTCTGTACTGATTCGCGATAAATTGAAAGTCTAGTGGAAGAGATCCATTTCAGTCAAGATCCACTTCCTAATTACTGAATTCTATAAACCAATCTATTGAAAATTAAATTCGATCGAGCAGAAATGGCGCCTCCAGCTCAATCTCAGAAATCCTCTTCGCCCTCTCAACCCTCCGGGTACTGGCCAGATCCCTTTCTCCATTGTGTTTTATGTGTGTATGTTTTACTATATTTTATTGCATTTTAGACTCGGAATTTGATGAGGAAACTGTTGAATGGTACATTGAATACCAAACACTAGAAACAAAAATTTTTACATAATTAAGTTTGGGTAAACGCGTGGGAATTAATGAAATGAGGCTTAATTTTACTGGATTGACTTCTGAAAGTCAAGCGTGTAAAGAGTTGTAACCGTGTTGAAATCATCAAACTCATTGTTGAATTCACTTCTAATCTCTCAGTCCATTGTCCCCCCTCCTCCCCCCGCGGGAAATTTGGCGAAAGGAAGGAAAGAAAGGATTTTTTTCAATCGCGAGTCTCTTCCATGGCCTTATGTGTACATACGTCATGTTTAATTCGCTGATAGACCCACTGATCAGTATTCACTAGACTTCCGGCAGTTTTGTTCTCTTTTTTGGGTGTGTGGAATTTGATATCTGAAAAATATTAGTTGAGTAAATGGCAAAAATAATGAATTTTTCCATCTCTTTTCCTCGCAACCAGACACCAGAAAATACACACAATAGTAATTCTCGAAACTCTAACCCTTATCTTTATTCGGCCAGAAAAGGGGAAGTTTCGGATGTGAAAGTGCAGCTCCGGCAACTAGCAGGGAGCAGAGCTCCTGGAACGGACGATTCAAAGAGGGAACTTTTCAAGAAGGTGATCTCATACATGACTATTGGGATTGATGTATCAGCAGTTTTTAGCGAAATGGTGATGTGCTCGGCGACCTCGGATATAGTGCTAAAGAAGATGTGTTATTTATACGTTGGGAATTATGCAAAGAACAATCCAGATCTTGCGCTTTTGACAATTAATTTCCTTCAAAGGGATTGCAAGGATGAGGATCCTATGATTCGTGGTTTGGCTTTGAGGAGTCTGTGTTCACTACGTGTCGCAAATTTGGTGGAGTACTTGGTGGGGCCTTTGGGCAATGGGTTGAAGGATGGAAATAGTTACGTGCGGATGGTTGCATCTGTTGGGGTTCTCAAGTTATATCATATTTCGGCTTCAACTTGCATGGATGCTGATTTCCCTGCTATGCTCAAGCATTTAATGCTTAATGACAAGGATGCTCAGGTAGGCTGCTTACATTTGATTTTATTTGCTTTTATATCTTCTTATGGATGCTGGTTCTAATGTTTAAATTAGTGTCCAACATATGTTGCAATTATTTAATTTTAACGAATCAAGATACTTGTCATAAAAACATTTTCAAAGTACTTAAATCTACGGCCTTTCTGACTATCAAATTTCCTCCTTTTGTTTCATCAGGTAGTTGCAAACTGTTTAACTTCTCTACAAGAGATCTGGGGTCTGGAAGCAAGTACATCTGAAGAAGCGGCAAGGGAGAGAGAAATGTTGCTTAGCAAGGCAGTTATATACTACTTTCTAAATAGGTATGTAATAGGATCATTGTTCGTTGCATCAATTTCTTTTTTACATTTGGAAGTCAATATGTATAGGAACAGCGCATTTTTTTTTTCACTCACTATTTACCACGTGCCATATGGGGCAAGCCGTTCCTTGTATTACCCAGGGCTTCCTGAGAGGTTACCTAATTGCGACCATGAAAAAATAACCTCAAGAGGTCCCTGTTTCGCACTCTTTTTCGCAAAATGATATGCTAAAAAGGCAGAGTTAGTGATAATAAGGATCTGTGCTACCTGTAAATTGAATTCGTAACTGACCCTTTGCCAGCTTCATCCTATACCTGTAATTTTTTTCTTGTCTTGCCAAAAGAAGATGCCTTGTTGGTTATATTATTAGAGGGCAGCAGAAAAAGCTTTAGTTGTTTCCTCTTGGAGATGGAATATTACTCGACGACACACAAGCATCCTGCATTCTCAATCTCTTTGCAAAAACTTTGTTTCTCATATTATATCTCCTCTTCTCATTTTCAAATTGCTATAACATCCGTTTCTCTGTCTATCTTTGCATAAAATGATAAAAATTAGCACTAGTCTTGCAAATTGATAAGCTCTTATTATTTCTTCAGCATACAACAGATACTGACATTACCTGGATTCTGAGCTATATTTGCAGTCTTGGTAGTCAAATATATCTAGTGACTTCACTAATTGTATTGATCATGCATAAGATCATATTGGAATCTTTCTCTTTCTCGCGCTCGCTCTCTCTCTCATGGACACACAAACGCATTCGCATGCACGGACACAGACATACAGAGAGCTTGTCAGATATATCTTCACCAGAACAAAGTATCTAACTTCCCACTTGATTGTGTACAGGATCAAAGAATTCAGTGAATGGGCACAATGTATTGTTTTGGAGTTGGTTGCTAAGTATGTTCCCTCCGATAGCAATGAGATATTTGACGTCATGAATCTTCTTGAAGATAGACTTCAACATGCAAATGGTGCTGTTGTTTTGGCAACCATTAAGGTGTTTCTACAATTGACCCTATCAATGACTGATGTTCATCAACAGGTGCTTAAAACTTTCTTTATTAAAATATCATCTTATTTCCCATTATTGATGGTAAAATTTGTTTATTTGGTGTTTTTTTATTTATTGAATTTACTCATCCAAACTTCCTTTTTCTGATTTAGAAGCCAAAAAGAGTATTCTCACGATCTGTATTGCTGTTTGTACAGTGTTGAATATTTACTTGTTGACATGTATTAGACTTGAATCTAAACTTTTTGGTTCTCTTTTAAGTGGAAGTCCCTCTACAGATTTAGATCTCATTGCATTGTAAAACAATCAAAAGAATATTTCAAGATGTCATGCCATCCTCTTATCCTCCATAATAACATATATGAAGTTTTCTCTTTCAGCATATCTGTAAATTATGTAATTCCATTTGCAGTAAAGCTGACTTTGCCAGATGCTGCTTTAGATTGTGCTCTCTGCTGCACAATATTACATCATTAATTCTGCTGAATTTTATTTTTTTGTGTATAATTAGTTTTCTTCTTGACATGCTTTTATGAAATTCAACAAGTTAATGTATCAAAACACAGATATATATCCTACGATTGATATCATTAAAATGTACTAATTCATTTGCAAAAATTTGTCTGTATCCTGTTACTTCCCTTACAATTATCCTTATCTACTCTTGAATTTTTTATTGAACTCACTTGACAGGTGTATGAACGTATTAAATCCCCTCTGCTCACTCTAGTGAGCTCAGGAAGTCCTGAGCAATCATATGCAGTGTTAAGCCACCTACATCTACTAGTGATGCGTGCACCATTTATATTCTCTTCAGACTACAAGCATTTCTACTGTCAGTACAATGAACCATTTTATGTCAAAAAATTAAAGCTAGAAATGTTGACTGCTGTGGCAAATGAGAGCAACACATATGACATAGGTGGGTATGGTGCTGCTTAAATGCTCAAACTTGTGCAATGAAGTAGACATTGTCCTTTTTTCTAATCATATTCTGGTCACAGGTGGTGATCCTTATCTTTTTGAGCATGACTAACTTGTGACATTTTTACTCCATTTTAGTGACTGAACTATGTGAATATGCTGCAAATGTTGACATCCCAATGGCAAGAGAATCAATACGAGCTGTTGGCAAGATAGCATTGCAACAGTATGATGTAAATGCCATTGTTGATCGGCTGCTTCAGTTTCTGGAAATGGAAAAGGAGCATGTGACTGCCGAAACTCTGGTAAGCATCTCTTTTTCCATTCAGATGCCCGGGACTTGGGATATACTGATTGTTAACTGTTTATATATTGTGCACAATTCAGTAATGTAGCATTGTAATTTTCTTAATTTATGGCAGCTTAATGAAGTTGAGAATTCTTGTTACAGGTTCTTGTAAAAGATCTTCTCAGAAAATATCCTCAATGGAGTCATGACTGTATAGCAGTTGTTGGGAATATCAGTAGCAAAAATGTCCAGGAACCCAAAGCTAAGGCTGCTCTTATTTGGATGCTAGGGGAGTATGCTCAAGATATGCAGGATGCTCCATACATTTTAGAGAGTCTTATTGAAAACTGGGATGAGGAGCACTCTGCAGAGGTAATAAGCTGGCATTATCCTGTGATTTTTTATTTTCCTTGACTATATTTTTTAAGATTTCTTAAATGGTACCACTCTGTATCTCCATACTCAGTTAGCTCATGGTTTTTCTTGGTAGTGCCTTGTAGTACTCCAATTAATTGTAGTTTATGGCAAGTATATTTTTGTTGTGTGTTTCTGTTTGATACAATCACTTTTTGTGTTATGAGACCAAGTAAGGTAGATGCTATTTTTTTCCTTCTAGTAAGTTTCTAGCTGGAAAGTGAGAAAGTATAACTAGTGGTATTTAGTTATTTTTAACTTGTTTGTTTGCTTGGCAATAAGGCATCAAATGATCAGATGTCTACTATGTCTTCTCAAGTGACTAGTTTCCTGTGTTTACAGGTTCGTTTACATCTACTTACAGCAATAATGAAGTGTTTCTTAAGAAGGCCACCAGAGACTCAGAAGGCCCTGGGAGCTGCTTTAGCTGCTGGTCTGGCTGATTTTCATCAGGTCTGGCTAGTCTGCGTGATTTTCTGGAAAGTTGAAAGATCAGAGTTTGAAGTTTTTACTAGACTTTTGCTTGGTATCTGTAAAGAATGATTGTTAACTTCCAGATTGTTGCAGGATGTTCACGATAGGGCCTTGTTCTACTATAGGCTTTTAAAGTACGATGTATCTGTAGCTGAACGAGTCGTAAATCCTCCAAAGCAAGCTGTTTCAGTCTTTGCAGATACTCAAAGTAGTGAAGTCAAAGATCGTATCTTTGATGAATTCAACAGTCTCTCTGTTGTATATCAGAAGGTACCTCTACTTCTATTCCAATATCCTTTGGAAGTTTTGTAGCACCTAACATTAATTTCATTTGGGGACAGTGACCTTAATAATTTACATTGTATAAAGACAAAGATGGACTGCTGTCAGATCTTTGTTGATGACCCATTAGCTTCATATCTGATAAGAAAATCATTTAAAAATCAAGTATTTCCAGTTACATGTAAATTATAGTTCAGATTCACTTCTACAGGCTAAATACTGAACATTAATGTCCAACACACATGTACATCTGAGAATAGAATATTCAGAAATATTCGTCTGTCGATTATGAATACAGAAAATACATTATGTATCTGAAGCACTTGGTAACTAATGAGAATTTCTTGCAGCCGTCATACATGTTCACTGATAAGGAGCATAGAGGGCCATTTGCATTCTCTGAAGAACTTGGCAATCTATCTATTGACACAGATTTGGCTAATGATGTAGTTCCTGCTCAGAGGGTCGAGGAAAATGACAAGGATTTGCTGTTGAGTACTTCAGAGAAGGAAGAAAATCATGGTTCTATTAACAACAGTTCTGCATATGATGCTCCTTCTTATGATGGTTCGAGAATGGTAGGTGCTTTACAGCCTCAACAAGACCTTGTATCATTAGACCAACCACCTCCAGCAAATACGCCTGCCAGCTTGGCAATGGATGACCTATTTGGCCTAGGATTGCCAGTTGCGCCTAGTCCCACTCCTCCGCCTCCAGCTCTGAAGCTAAATGCTAAAGCTGTTCTAGATCCCAACAGTTTCCAGCAGAAGTGGCGCCAACTCCCAGTAGCTGCATCCCAGGTTAATATTGATAGCTTAACTTTTATTAATTAGTTTTCCATGTGACTTATGACCTTTGCTTCTGTGCCAATTTGCACAACCATTTCTCTTTCGGGCTTCAGAGTATGTGCACCAAATATAGGGAGGCAAAAGTAGTTGTACAGTTTTCTATTGTAGTTCTCTTAAATAGCATCTCAAAAGGATAAAGGGAACTCCTGAGATTCAATATGTAATACACCCCCTTGCCCAGCTTAGATTCATCTGTCCCTTTCTCGCAAGATCCCTGCTCATAGCCACCATCCGTGAAAATCTGATGCATACAATTGTGACTTGTATTCTTCCCTTTCCATTTGAAGATTTTATTCACATCCATTCATAAGCGAGCAAGTAATTTTAAAATTCACCTGGACAAAATATACATTCTTATATCCAGGTTTGTCAAGGGGTCAGTGGGAATCGGTCGACTTGGGATGACTAGGACTCTTGCTTATTAGCTGCTTAGCTAATATATACTAAGATGGGATTTTCTATCAATAATTTTTTGTTTAGTTTTGTAATGCAAGTAAACTGCAAAAGGGCAGACAGTCTTATAATGGTTCAGCAAATAGAACTAACATTTATCTGTAAATCTCTTCTTTTTATAGAGTTTTTAAGACTTCACTTCCTGTTAAGTTCAAATATTTTCTGCAATCACGATACAGTTTAATCCTTTTCATACACTTGCACTCCGAGTAATCTGATGCATCATGTCTTGCCTTTGTCTTGTTCAGGAAATATCCTTGAACCCACAAGGAGTATCAGCTTTGTCAAGTCCTCAGGTTCTTCTTAGGCATATGCAAGGTCATTCCATCCAATGCATTGCTTCAGGTGGTCAAGCCCCGAACTTCAAGTTCTTTTTCTTCGCACAAAAAGAGGACGAGCCTTCTACTTATCTTGTGGAGTGTGTGATTAATTCAGCAGCATGTAAAGCGCAATTAAAGATCAAAGCCGATGACCAGAGCACAACACAGGCCTTCTCAACATTATTTCAATCAGTTTTATCCGAATTCGGTTTGCCTTAGGCATGTATTAATATGTGATATTGGTTTTTGCGGGACAGGAAATAGTTGCAGCCTATGAATATCATTCCCTTTTGTGTAGGGATCAAAGTTGGAGAAAAATGTTACCGAAAAAACTTGCAAACTAAGAGCGCTGCGTAAAAACATGTGAATGTGCTACATGCTGTGACGATGAGTTATTTGTTTTCTGTTCAGCCTTCTTCAGTTAACGGTACCTTGGAGATAGAAAGCGAATTTTCACAGATGAGATACTTTGTTGAATTATTTAAGGGATATTTAGCGTTTTTTCTTATGGAAGTTTCTTCTTTTAACTCGCTGTGATGGTTCTATCATGCTTTATGTGGAATTTCATATGCTAGTTAGCTAGCAAAGTTGTGACTGATATATGGAATGGGAAATAAGTTAAAACAAAACATAGTTTTCAGTTGTTTATATTAGTATTGGAATGCTCGTATGTTAAAGAAGAAGATGACTGAACTTTATGCTTGCTGAAAATGTACTCGTCCAAGTTTAGGTGTTTGAAACCATCTTGATTCTTAAACTTGTCAACATTGTTTAAATGCTCATTTTGTAAGCTAAGAGAGCAAGGAAATCTCATCACTTTCAATGTTTAATCTTTTAGTCTGGTAAAACACATCCCTCTAAATCACCAATAGATTGGATTCCTAGTGCAGAAGAAACAATTATGTATTAATTAAGTGCCAGACAGCCCCATAGTTTATTCGGAAGCAATTCATTTCCAGTTTGAATTGTACATTAGAATTTAGAATACGGTCCCCACTATTTGTCCATGCAAGAATGGTCCGGTCCCAACAATATCCAAATAATACCAGAAAATCAAATAATCCCAAAGTAAAGTTCTTCTTGAGCCTTAGTTCAATTTTTTTCTTTGTCTGCTGCTATTATTTTATTTTCGGGGTAAATTCACCCATGGCTATTATACCTTATACTTAGTGTCACCATAGTCATCCAAATTGATTTTGACTGACCATGATTACTTCATTTCATATACCGTTTCAATCAATCCACCTGATTATTATCACAACCAAAAACAAAATAAAATAAAATAAAATAATACACGGTCAATAATATAAAAAAATAAAAACTCACACATTATTATTACCACAAAAATAAAAAAGGAAATTGTAAATCAGAAATAGAAATTTAAAAAAAGTCCAAATATGGTAATAACTACAAAAACTTAAAAACCACTGTATTTTTTATTTTTATTTTTTCTGAATTTTTTTTACTTCTGATTCTTATCCTTTTTGTTTGTTGTGGTAATAATTATGCATGAATATTTTTAGTGTGTTTTTTTGTTGTGGTAACAATCGGGTGGCTAGACGAGAATATTATTTGAAGTTGGGTGGTCGTGGTGTATCAAAAGCAATTTGGATGGCTACGATGACATTAAGTATAAAGTACAGTGGTGATGGTTAATTAAAATCAATTTAGATGATCATTGTCACACTAAGTATAAAATACGGTAACCATTTGTAAATTTAACCCTTTCATTTTCACACTAAAGTACAATGACCATTGGTGGATTTAATTTACCCTATGTGACATTCAAGATTTTGGAAAGACGAAATCAAAGTAGTGACTGCCTTAATGCTCTACCTAAGGAACAGATGAAAACTTACTAACTTGAGGGTGTCATGTCGTGCTGGGGCAAATAATTGGGCAAAAAGTTTAAAACTTGGAGAACTTTTAGGGTTCCTTCTGTTTCTTTTTTCCTTTATTAATTGGTTTGGCTAATTTTTCTTTTTAGAAGAGAGAGGGGTATACTATAATTTACACTGGTTGGTGTAATTGCAAAATACTTGATTCCATTAGACCCTTCAATTCTATTGGTGAAATGATGAGTCACCATTGATATCGACACATCTGAGATCACCAAATGTTCGAGAGTTTTTCTATTCAATTTGAGAGACGAAAGTTAAGCGAGCAAACGGGAATAGATACCTCAGTAGTCCTGATAGTAAACGATGGATATTAGGTGTTGTATATATCAACCCGTGCAGTGTTGTAGTTAACGCAGTATCCTACCTAGGGAGTATGTTCGCAAGAATGAAACTCAAACAAATTGATGGGGGCCACCCAAGTGGTGAAGCATGTGATTTAATTCGATACAAAGCGAAGAACCTTACCAGGGTTTGACATGTTGCGAATTCTCTTGAAAAAGGGGTGCCTTCGGGAACCCAGACATAGGTGGTGCATAACTGTCGTCGGTTCGTGCTGTAAAGTTGGGTTAAGTTCCACAATGAAAGCAACCGTCATGTTTAGTTGCATTCATTGAATTTTGGCCCGAACAAGCTATCGGTGATAAGTCGGAGGAAAGTGATGATTTATCTTATGATTTGAATTAGTAGATTTTTTATGATTCCAATTTGAATGTCAGAATTTATTGAAATAATCAATGATTTAAAACAATATGAGCATATAGATTACTAAAATCGTTTAGTAATCTTTTTTTACTTCTAGTATTCCGAAGAAATAATTGATTAACTATTGATAAGAGGACTTCAGACACTTCTTTGGAATTCGAGAAGGAGAGTAAGCCTCATCAATTTTTAATGACTAAACTATGATGTGAAATAAGTTGATAAAGAAAGATCTCCTTTCTAAAATTAGAAACCAATCGATAAATGTGCAATATGTGACTCGGAAATAAATAGAATTGGGTGAACTCAGTTAACATAGGAAACATAACGTAAATATCTATAAATAATTTTATACTTGTTAGACAAGTTGTGAATATAAAATATTCTATTCCTTTACAGTGAAAGAAGTTGGAATGAAGTTGTTAATAATAGATTACCTAGAGAAATAGGTAAAAGAAATTTCCATCCAAGATTTAATAATTGGCCCATTCTTAGTGTCGGTAAAGTACATCTTGTTGCAATAGAAATGAATAAGAACAAATAAATTTTAGCCAATGTAATAAAGATATTGATTATTGTTCCAAAAACTTTACTTTTTTCAAGAAACTCAGGATCAAATATGTACGGAATGGAAAGATTCAGATGATGAAGAAACTAGCGGATTAACATCATGAAATAAACCAAATTTGATACCTAAATATTCGGTTTGATAACCTGCCACAAAAACCCTATAGGTTGATGCCACAAATTTCCATCCAATAAACCCTATAGGTTGGTGCCACAAATTCCACCTCCAAAAATCAAATTTTGACTGCACTTCAACCTATGGGGTTTATTGTTTCCATCTAAGACCTCGAATTAGACTAATGGAATTATGTCTACTATTTATAATAAATATATATTTCTAATAAATAAAAGTGCTTCTGAATTGATCTCATCTTTCAAGAATTTTCATTTTTCTTTGTTGATTAATAACTTTATATTGAATAAAAAAAGTGTTTTTTGGAGGTATATCACATATCTATTTCAATTTATCATTTTTCATTATGAAATTAGAATTAGACGTTACATTATTTCATGTATCATGACAAGAATTCTATTTCTCTAAATAAAATAGACATATAGGTGATTTTTCTGGATTTTTTCCATGTTTAAACTGATGGGATGATGTTCTTAGAGGGGACCCATTTCTTGATATAATTAGTTTTCTTTGTTTTGTTAAAGATAATCAGAGTGTGGGAATTAGTCCAACTTCTTGATGGGTTTCTTGATTTTTTAATCATCGAGAAAATGGGATTGTTTGATCAAAGTGGGTGCTTTCATTGTTTTATATGGTGAGTTTCTGTTAAAATTTTGATTCAAAACATGTTGAATTCTGCAATTATTTTCTCTGATAAATAATTCAATTGATGACAATTTTGCAAGGACTACGTTGAAAGCGAATATAACAAGGTGAAAATTTAAAATCCCTTTCAGTTTTTTTCGGGATTTAAACTCAACAGCAAAAGAATTGTCTTTTTGTATGTGTTGTAGTTTTACTTAAATTCTAGTGGGTATGGAGTTTTGGTTGTGTTAGGAAAATATGTAATTGGCAAATCTGTGACCAAGGACCAAATTGTCAAAATTGTAAAGTCAAGGACCAAATTGTCAATGTCCAATAGTTCAGGGACTAGAGTTGCAATTAACTAAAGTTTATAGGCTAGGTCTAGGGTTGTGTGGGATGTCTCGAAGATGCAAGCGGCGCTTTGATTTCGCTAGAGTCTCGCCTTGTCCTCGCTCGAGCCACAATTGCAGAACCAACTTCGTTGGACTCACGCTGAGCCATCGCTCGAGCGAAATGTACGTCGCTCAAGGCTCGCCAGTACCTCGCTCGAGCGACCGTGTTACCTAGCCAATTCTAATTTTAAACGCTCGTGAATGTTTGACACTCCACATTACCATATATCAACCTCTATATATACCAAACGTCCGATTCGTGTTCAAAAACCCAAAAATTCACATTAAAAACACTTTGAATATTCTTTCAATTCCTTGGCAACCAAAAATCCAAATCATTCTTTCCAAGGATCAAAAGCCAAAGAAATCCTTCATTGTTCTCATACCAATCTTTGGCTTGTTGAGTAAAAACATCAAATCCATAAACACCAAAACACCTGTCTCACAACTCCAATTAAACTTCCAGAAGATCATCAGTTTGAAGATTCGGAAAGGATTTGCTTGAAGAGTTGGAGTGCGTGGCGATTCACGGGAGGTAGAAATTATACAAGGCTGGGATTTAGCACGGATCTGCAAAATCCAGGAAGGTCTTGAGTTCATACAGCAAGGAGGTCAGAAAATTGAGAGTGTCAATGATGTCTGGCTTGCTGTAAGTTGGTTTCTACAATAGTGAATCTCTACTGGCTTGTGTCCGGAGTTTTTACCTAGTTGGGTTTCTCCGTCAACATGTTTATTGTGTTTTTATCGCTTTAATTTATTTACTTGTCAATGGTAATCCAACATAGGTAGATAAAGCACGTGAATTAATCTGGATAAATTATAATTTATGTGACTTGTTGCATGAATTATTCAAAAAGTTTTTAATTCCGCAAGAACACCTATTCACCCCCCTCTAGGTGTTAGTTGGGTCGAACGATAGGTTTTTCAAGTGGTATCAGAGCTTAATCTCGAGTCCTGACCCATAGTTGTCTAGATGAGTCAATCACTGTCTGTACCTCCGTTTTTCGACGGAAGTAATTATGCATATTGGAAGGTTAGAATGCGTGCGTTCCTTAAGTCCTTAGATGAGCATGTTTGGATTAGCATTCAAAATGGTTGGAAACCTCCATCTACTACCGTATCAGGAACAATTAACCTTACTGACATATCACTGTGGACTAAAGATGAATTAGCTGCATCTAATTGGAATAGTACGGGAATTCATGCATTATTCATGGCTCTATCTCCAGAAGAGTTTAGGAGAGTGTCTATGTGCGAAACTGCTAAAGAGGTTTGGGACATTCTCGAAACTACACATGAGGGAACTAAG